AATATGTGACACATGTATATTTGAACTTATGGATGATGAAATCCCAATGTTCGTGGTTTACAAACTGTGTCGCACTGATGGAAGTTTCACTCTTACATAAATTTTACATTTTCATTCGAGCTTTCATGTTTGCTTATTATGGAATATCTGTTCTATTCTCTTGTGCATGAACGCTATATAACCAGATTCATTAGGATTTTGACTTATAATTCGCTTGTGTTCTTCTTACTTCAAGATTGCACTCAATTTGTAAACTCTATTCATTCTAAATAGGTTGTAACAGAAATATGATTTAATTACTTATAATTAACCTATATGTTGATATCCTATATTTGGACTTCATGCAATACTACAATATCGTCATTTGACGACTGACATCCTTCTAGCTAAAATTATTCCAAGTAAGTAAACAATTTTATAATTTGTAATTTTATAAACAATATACTAAATTATTTATTCCAACTCTTAGTGTCTCCACTTTTTCTGCAGATACATCTAGGGAGTCAAATATTAGCAATAGTGCTTGAGCCTCTTCCAAAGCATTTATCACTAAATTTAGAAAGAACTCTCCCAAAAACCTACCATAATTTAGATGAGCAATCAAATATCTTCACGAAAAACTTCTCGTTTGTTTATAACTACAAAATGAACATGATATAGCTCAAACCAACAATGACTTTTGTTAAAATATTTGATTGTTCTTTTAAATAATATTTTGCTTTTGGGAGACTTCTTTTTAATTTAATGATGATTAATTTGGAAGAGGTCCAAACTCTATATTTCAATATAATATTACATTGAGGTGATTCTTTAACTAATATTTATTATTTAACATTATTTTTTATGGTGCCATTTTGATGCTTTTGTATTCTATTTTAGAATGGACTTCAAAATGACAATTTAATTGACCCTAATTATTAGTCAATATCTACCTAGCCGCACAAAATCCATTAAATTTTTCTTCGATTTATACTCTTACTAATATTATTTATGCAATATTATGCAGGTAAAAGAAGTGAGATCTAATCTTAATGAGATTGGATAATGATGTGAATTTAATCCATGAGATGGTATGCAACTTGGTAAGCTATTACAACATGATTGTTTAAATATGATGTAATTTTCTTTTTGCTATATTTTTATCTCACAATAATTCATTCTAAATATCTTTATGGATGAATGAAGCTTTTTATGATCATAATGGATCATCTAATAGATGATCAAGTCATAACAAGAGGAAAACTTAACTAATCATCGTCATACCGGTTTGAAGACAACATCAATGCTACAACATAAAAGTTTTATTTGCTCGTTTTGTCCTTTCCATCTAAATGATTCTACTACAACCACCTCCAAAGCTTTGTTTTATTTGGTAGCACTGATAACAATAATTTGTGAGGCTTTTGACTTGCAACTTCGTTCTGTTTTCAAACACAACTTGTGTGAAAACTCTTCCATGATGTTTAAGCTTAGCAAGAATGTGTAATATGCTTCATAATGCTTTAGCTTCTAACTTGATTATGAATATATAACGAGTGCAGCTTCTAAAACATATAGATCATCATTCGTTTGCTTCTTATAATATTTGCTTTTGTCTATTAGCTAACATTTCATTATGAACCATTAACAGAATTATTTTTCATATTGATTCCTCCATCATAGCTCAATTTTTTTTTTAACTTGTCCAAACTAAACTTTGCACAATTTCATTATTCCATCAAAACTTCTCTTTCCCTTCTCAATTATCAATATTACAAAATAAGATTTGATTATTGGTGTCTAAAAAATAACCAATACCACTCTACGCTATTATGTACTCAACTATACTATAGCACATGTCTCGTACGTGCGACCCACTAGCATTCCTTTAAAAGAATGAAACCCTCCTTCGCTATTCATTTGTGTAAGCTTATTTTCACATTGCAAGTGGTTAATTACTATTCATTAGCTCGTTCAGATGTGCCCTGTAGATTAATTGGTTTGGATTTGGTTTTTTTACGTGTGAGAAGTCATGCCGTCTGATGTGCATTGTAGTGTTTGTGTGTAAAAAAAAAAAAAAAAAAAAAAAAAAATGCAGACGTGAGTGATTTTTTCCAACATTGTCAAATGTGGGCCAGCATTCATTATTTGTCTGAAATTTGACTTAAGTTTTATTTTTGGTTGTGTTCGAAGAAGAGCAAAGGCTGGATCTTTCATATGTAGACTGTACCTATGTGTGGGAAGAGAAGCAGGTGCAAAAAAATCTTCCATATAAAAATAAAATATTAAATAAGTACAAAACAGAGATAAGAATTAGGGGCTTCCTTATATGTTAACTTCTCTTTTTTGCCGAAATCCTCTCTCATTCCAATACATTGACACCTTAAAATCCTCTATTATCTAAAAATCTCTTCTTTTTCAAATTGATTCACATATAACTTCCATTTTTCCAAAAAATTATTGTGAAAATAGATTGTTTTGTTGAAAGATCGTCGACTTAGAAAGTGGGCTTTACCATGAAGGATCTTTGAAGGATTAATTGATCGGGATTCTTTAGTTTGTTAAGTGGATTCTTGATTAATTAACGAGTGGACTTGGAGAAGATAAGCGATTTCTTCAACACTGAGGAGGAATGATGTTGTAATGAAATACGACACTATTGTTGATTGTCATATGCATAGAAAAATTTCCATTTTTTACATCAGTCGTGAGGCTTCAAAGGTTCGTTTAACCTCTGCATTTTCTCTCTGCAATTTTTATTTTCATTATAATTTCTTTCTTATTTAGATTAATACTACTTGTAGGTATGTTTTATTGATTTTTTCTTATCCTTTTTTCCATCAAAAGCTGTAGAAGAGATTTGTACGGAAGTGACAACAAAAATCAACATTCTTACTAAAAATTAGAAGTCCATTCTGAGGTGTCTCCTTTGTCTGGTTTATGTAAATATATATTGATCAACAATTTCCAATTTCTGCTTTACATTCTCCATCCCTATTTTCCTCCTATTTTTTCGTAGCCATATGAGTTTTATGGTGCATGTTAATAATTTGATGAAGGATTTTAAAATTTTTCAAGTCGTGCAAGATTGTATTTTGATGTGTTTTTGTTGATTCGAAAGGCCTTTGTTAGGTTGCGTAATTCTAGATGATTCTTATCATTAAATTCTAAATCAATTAATTACTTTTTAATCTAAGTGACATGGACATAATATGCTTGACAATTTAGTCTTTGGATAATCCATAATTGCAAAAAAGTCTCTCTTACAAATATCGGACGAAATTATTGAATCATACTTGAAACCAAAGAAGGCTCTGAAGGCTATGAAACTGACAACCAGACCAATGTCTCCACCCTAAAAAAAACATGAATGGAAATCATCTACATTACTTTTGTAGTAGTTGGCAATCAAGTAAGAACGCATGTGTGCAGTTCCTTAATGAAAAATTCCTAACTACAACTCTACCAACAATAACTTGCTACTTTTGAGATTAAGAGGTTGAGAGGGTGCTTTGGGCTTTTTTTCTTTCTTCTTTATCCTTTAGAATATAAACATTGTGATCTGTCGTCGTATCTTTCTTGTACATTTACTGTCAGTATATATGAACTTTTGTACTTTTGTGAAAGGACACTGCCACAATAAAATAAATTTTACTCTTTCTTTAGCTTTCAATTCTACACACTTCTAATAGATAAATAAAGCAAACACAGTAGTTATATTCATATTATTATTTATTGTAATGTACAAAACATGTTCTATTTACAGCTTTATTTCATTGCATTTAGCCAATAATATAACATTCCTACCATACGAACTAAAAAATTCAAAACACAAACTACCTAGAAAAAACTTCTCGACATTACACAACTTTATTTTCTTTGAATTGTTAAATTCATATAACATTGAACACACTAACAACACTTTCAAAAAAGTGCAACCCATACATTGCATGGGTAGAAAACTAATCTTTAAGTAAAAGATTAAAGATTATGAGATTTCTGGATACAATCTAATAGTGAATATTATGCATCGTGGATCAAATTCTACCAAAGTAAAAGATTAAAGACGTGGATGACACAAAACATAGTTTATTATTTTATTCTGAAAATTATATGCATATGTTTTGAGAAAAAATAGATTTTACTTCAACTTTGATAGCTTTCTTCATTGTCTCCACATTGGAATAAAAGGGGGGTTGTGTATTAAATTACTTTGCCTTGTAATCTAATTTGGGTAATAGAGAATCCTGTGCTGCTCAACGCGTAGTAAAACTTACAAGCCCTTAATCATCTATGCCTCTTTTCTCTATAAAGTTTGTTGTATTACATGTTAAGCGGGGAGTGAGCAAATATTGGATATAAGAAAGTTATCTTAATATTTGTTTGAAAATTAATTTATAGAAGAAATTCATATTCTGAATTGTTTTTAGACGAAACCACGTTTAACCAACTTTCTTTAAAAGCTCTTTTAACTAAAAGAAATACTTTCATAAAATTAATCGAACTAATCCAAAAGCAATTTTTCAAAAACTCATTTTTGGAGAATTCTATTTGTACAATCATTTTGTACAGTATTGCTGACAATGTTGTAGTAGTAAAAAAAGTACTAGTGGGAAAGATGAATTGTTTTTAGATCTGTCCAATGACTACATGTAGCATGTTGTCAACAACATTATCAAAATCATTGTACACCAAACATGATTCTTCATTTTTTACTTTTCAAAATCCATGCTAAACGGCTTTCATCTTCAACAGCAGAATCGGCAAAAAGTAAACCACCCATATGCTTGTGAGATTAGCTGTATGGAATTTAATCACACAGTATATTTATTTTCTCGATTTGAGGTTTGACATTATGGCTATCACGGATATAGGCTGGAGTCCCAATACAATTTTTCGAATGATGGAATACATAGGTACTCCATACGCATACGAGCTCGTCCGTACACATTTGGTTCAGCAATTGTGGTTGTGGAGGTTGTATACGTATTGGCTTTCATGAACTTGGGAAAGAAAACATAGAAGCCCAACATAAGTTTTGTTGTAATACTAGAAAACATGAGTAACGAGGTAATGCTACGGTTGTCCACACGCAAATATTAAAATTCTCCCACACATTCAATAATTCAAGTTAAATAAGCAACTTGAAAAGAGAGGGTCTGTTCCACAAAATCATATAGACATTAGGTCTGAAGAAATGGCGGGACAAAGGCCATACCTCCAACAAAGCATCGTTGAAGGTTGCAAAGAATGTCTGTGCACGATTGGTTCGTCTCAAGTAGATAATTCAGTTAAATCTTTTTCTCATGCTCAAAACTAAGCTTTCAAAACTTTGCCAGAACTCCTTTGTAACATCAAAATGCAGACCCACTGCTCTTGGACTTCCCCATCAATATGTCTTTTGCTTCATTAATTTTAGAAGCAAGATAGTGGCTACCACCTGCATCGGGATGATTTGCCACCATCACCCGCCTGTGTGCTTCCCTTACTTTATCTGCTGGAGTACTTTCCCTGTTCCAAGTTAAAATTAAAGATTAAAGTCAAGTGGGAGATCGGATGGAATATGAGAATTTCATCACATCGATGATCGTCCCAAAGAAATATCGTATCAATGAATTATCACTGAAGGTACAAGGAATAAAGCATATATGGAAGTACACAACATGATCTTTGGATCTAAGTAAAGGCAGAAGACTCAGCAATCCAACTAACACACCGCTAGCAATAGATTTGGATCAATCAACAAACAGACCGCAAGCAATTATTTTGTATCCTCAAACTTAGAAAGACACTAATATGCTTTGTATTCCTTCAATAGACACTAATATGCTTTGTATTCCTTCAATAGACACTAATATGCTTTGTATTCCTTCAATAGACACTAATATGCTTTGTATTCCTTCAATAGACACTAATATGCTTTGTATTCCTTCAATAGACACTAATATGCTTTGTATTCCTTCAATAGACACTAATATGCTTTGTATTCCTTCAATAGATCAAAACATAAATAGAAGGGATGATGCTGAACAAGTAGCTGTGGAGAAGGAGAAAAACATCTTCTTTTCCCTTCGGGTGGGAACCCCATCCTGGAATACCTACGTCTTGCGTATTTCTAGTAAGAAGTAACTAACACGTATAAACAGAAAAGTCATTTAACAAAAGCACCTCCAACAATAACTTGGCATCACTCATAACACGTAGGAACTTGAATACACACCCCTCCAATTAGATAAGAACACTAATAAGGATCAAAGATTTCAATAAGTATCTGCATGTCTTTGAAAAAGGAAAACAAACGAGAAGAAATATGAAAAATCTCCCCAATTGCCTCTCCTCTCACACACGCACCAAGTTTTCTTGTGTGGGTTAAACTATCCTTAAGCATCTCCATCTCAATCCTTTTAGCCTGAAGAGATAACCCGAAGATAAAAGAAAAGCCCATCAACCCCTTACATTACCTGGCAAATGGAGGATGAAGATATCAATTCCTTCTACATCCTCCTTGCATATGACCAAATGATTTAGACATGAACACCACTTACTCAAAACAAAATAGGCTGTAATAAAAACTGGCTGCCAAGGATATAGGTCTCAAGATTGGATTAACCAAGAACTTGTCTGTAACTGCCTAATGCATAATATCAAACAAAGCTCAAACAAATTTTAAGCTTAATAGTTTATTGTTTTAGACTCAAGGCTATTTTCTCAGTTATTAAGTAATATTTACACAAAAACCAAGTCTTGACTAATTATTTTTTAATTAATGTGATTTTAGATCAGCACATGCCTAATAACATGAACAAGGCAAGCTCTGAACATGAATTTGAAGTTCACCAAACTTCAACAAGCTACATAGCTTGCTAGACATCTTTCTTATCTAGTTCAAAATAACACAAATACAAGAAATCATATTCCAACGTGTACTTCTCCAACATTATGCGTTCATCAAACCTAGATACTTTGTTGCCAAAAGTAACATCTTCAGGAAACCCTCGCGTAAATCTTTCAATCCTTCATTAAGCTCGCCTTATGAATCCAACAACCTTCAAACCTTTGATAAGCCCAACTTATGGGTAAAACCCCCTTCACTTTCTCTCATCACTTGACAATCACTATAAAGAAACTCAATTTCATTCAAAAGTCCCACTCTTGTAAAACCAAACACTGGATAAAGAAAATTACTACGTGAGACTGACATTTCCAGTTTAATATCATTTCCCATCATCAAAGAAAGAATTAGCTGTACCTGACCCCAAGAATTAGAGCTGCTTCCCTCCTGGTCATTTTAGGCTGGAAACCTCCTTCATAAAACTTGCGCATTCTAGCAGTTGGTGGTCTTGACTTGAATGCTTGCCAGGCCTGAATGCCATATCTACCAGCATAAGCGGCAGCAGCGACAGCAACTCCTACTAGCAACGGTGAACTCTGTTCCAATTTTATTGAAAATAGCTTTAGATGGCTATTAGTTATACATCAGCAAAAGGTAGTAGTAGTTATATCAAATAACAAATCTACCAATTCAGCAAGATAACTAAAACTTTCTGCATAAAAGTGATGCATAGTTTTGATGACAAAACCGTCTCAAGACAGGTACTTCTATGAGAGGGAAAAAAATATTCTCTAACTGTCAATAGATCGAGTCCCATGATCGCTAGGGGCTTAGAAATATTGGAGAGTTGAAAAATAGGAAACTGGCCCTTTATCCATAATAAATAAAACAAAAGGAAGCATAGAAATTGGAAGAAAAAGGGTAATGAAGATTCCAGAATCTCACAAAAAAATGCACATAACTGTGCGGCTATGGAGATGTTGATCATCAACAACACGCCAGATTTAAATTTCTTTTCTGAGAGGAATTTTGTTGAGGAGGCTTCAACTTTCACTATTTCCTTGCCCTTGAATAAGGTAGAGTATTGTTTCAATTTACATGCCATAGAAAAGTCATGAATGTTACACACAGTGGCAATAATAGTAGAGAATTTTCTATCGCTTTAGGCTTATATCAACTTTGTGCTTAAATCCTTATCTTTCCACTTTAGACACAAATGAGCTTACAAGACATATAGTTCTTTGGTGAATATCGTTCACAGACGACATAGTTTTAGTTGCCTGGAAGGGGTTAAATTATGTCATAATTAAGATTATTTTGGAATCTAAAGGTTTTGGTAAGATTGAACATGTAGAATGTCATTTGGCATGGTAAGAATAACGATGATAGTGGAGTGACAATCAAGTTGTCCCAAAGAGTGGGTGTGTTAGGCATTCAGGTGCATAGGCATAAATTGAAATGTTACTTGAGGAGGATATAATGCGTGAAATTAGATTGGGTTTGATGATGCAAAGAAATACTAAGCTGAAAAGTTCATGTAGGTTGAACAACTCTTTGAAGTAGATATGAAACAGAGTAACAGGAACGTTTAAATAAGTCCAATATCTGATAGAAAAGTATCCATAATAGGAAAGTCCAACAGAACGATTATTGAACCATCTACCTTTATGATAAAATCAATGTAGCAGAAATGAAGACGTTATATTGGTTCGAGGCCCTCCTAAAATGAAAAAGATCTGGAAGTTGTTGCTAGTTTTTTTGAAGTTGTTGCTATCAATTCTCAATTTTTACTTGTTTATTTCAACAAGCATGAAGAACAGGACCTGATTTCAATGTTCAAAAAGCAGAAAGCAAGAGCAGTGATTCATTTCTACAAGATGGAAGCCATAAGTGAATAAAAACAGCACAGGAGGGGGATTGTAGTTTTTATCATTAAGCTGTTCCACAGCGGCCGTAACAGAATAATCATAAAGTCCAAGAATGAACAAAATAACCAGCCTAAGGAGAGCTAATTCAGGAAAAAATAGTTCC